TGGCCTCAAAAGAGCTCTGAGAACATTAATACAGTACTGTAAGGAGGACCAGCTAGAACTTAATTATCAGAAAACTAAAATCATGGCAGTTTCCAAAAGGCCTAGGAGCCACTCCTGGAGCATAGATGGCCACAAGATTGAGCAGGTCTGCTGCTTCAGATACCTGGGGTTAGTCTTCCATTCTACTGTCAGTAGGAAAGTCCATGGGGACTATGCTGCTGAAATTGCTCAGAGAAGCTTACCAGCAATTCTTAATTTTTTTAAAACAAGAGGTTGTCCTTATACAGTGGTGCCTCGCAAGACGAAATTAATTCGTTCCGCAAGTTTTTTCATCTTGCGAGTTTTTCGTCTTGCGATGCACGGTTTCCCATAGGAATGCATTGAAAATCAATTAATGCGTTCCTATGGAAACCGACTTCAGACCAGGTCCGGGGACAATCTGTCCCCCGACCTCTTCTGAAGGCTGGGGGGGGCAAAAGTCTTTGCTCCCCCCCCCCACGGCAGCATTTTAAAATCGCCCCGGACAGCGGAGGACTTCTCCGCTGTCCGGGGCGATTTAAAAGCCCTCCCGGGAAGCCAGGACCTCTTCTGAAGGCTGGCGGGGGGCGAAAATCTTTGTCCCCCCTGCCTGCCTGCTTTTAAAAGCCCTCCCGGGAGGGCTTTTAAAGGCAGGCAGGCAGGCAGGCAGGGGGGACAAAGATTTTCGCCCCCCGCCAGCCTTCAGAAGGCTGGGGGGGCGAAAGTCTTTGCTCTCCCCCCCCCACGGCAGCATTTTAAAATCGCCCCGGACAGCGGAGGACTTCTCCGCTGTCCGGGGCGATTTAAAAGCCCTCCCGGGAAGGCAGCCAGGGGGGACAAAGATTTTCGCCCCCCGCCAGCCTTCCCCTCTTTTGAAGCAAGGGGCGGCAACGGGGAGAAGATCGCTTCTCCCCTTTGCCGCCCCTTGCTTCAAAAGGGGTCCGGGGGGAGAGAGAGGAAGGCGCGTGCCTTTCCCTCTGTCCCCTCTTTTGAAGCAACGGGGAGAAGATCGCTTCTCCCCTTTGCCGCCCCTTGCTTCAAAAGGGGTCCGGGGGGAGAGAGAGGAAGGCGCGCGCCTTTCCCTCTGTCCCCTCTTTTGAAGCAAGGGGCGGCAACGGGGATAAGATCGCTTCTCCGCGTTGCCGCCCCTTGCTTCAAAAGAGGTCCGGGGAGAAAGGGGAAGACGCCAGCATTTTAAAAAACCTCGGGACAGCGGGGGACTTCTCCGCTGTCCGGGGCGAATTTAAAATGCTGGCGGGCGGCAGCGAAGCCTTCGCTGCCGCCCGCCAGCATTTTAAAAAACCTCGGGACAAAGGAGAAGTCCCCCGCTGTCCCAGGGTTTTTTTAAATGCTGCTGGGCGGCAGCGCTGCCGCCCGGCAGCATTTTAAAATCGCCCCGGACAGCGGAGAAGTCCTCCGCTGTCCCGGGGTTTTTAAAAAACCTCTCCGCCCCCCGCCAGGCATCAGAGCAGCCTTCCGAAGCCTGGCGGCGGGAGGAGGTCCGAGGACAGTGGGCAAGACGCCCTGTCCCAGAGATTTCCCTATGGGCTTTCGTCTTGCGAAGGAAGCCCATAGGGAAATTCGTTTTGGGAAGCATCTCCAAAACGGAAAAACCTTTCGTCTAGCGGGTTTTCCGTCTTGCGAGGCGTTCGTCTTGCGGGGTACCACTGTATACCAGCAGCACTCAAATTATCTGAAGCCAAGCCTATAGCACAACTTTTCTATGGTGCCCACTTGGGTCTCTTTTCCGATTTTGCACCACTAGAACTTGTGCAATCCAAATTTCTAAGGTCAGTCCTTCAAGTCCCAAAATGTGAGACTAGAGACAGGCTTCACAAAAGTGGAGGCTAGAGTGTGGGTGACCAGACTCAATGATTGGCTTAAACTATCTTTATTTCCCCAGGGCCTTGCCCCACCAACTATGAATGATGATTTTTCAATCCACGTGGAAACAGGCAGTGGCAACTAAAATCTCATCCCTGGGCTTCTTTCCAGGTCTTCTACTTAGCATGGGATATGTTCAGGCTAAAGCACTCATTAAACATGTGTATTAGACACAGAGAGCCAATTGGATCTAGCCAAGACTTTTCTTGCCAAGGAATCCACCAGGTACTTTGCCTCCCCTATGGCATATCTAACTAAACTCGAAGTCCCTAAACATGGAAGGGCTTTCACCCTGGCTCGATGTCATGCCCTCCCCTCGGCCGTTATTGAAGGTCAATACAGGAAGATTGAATACCTGGAGAGGCAATGCCCCTGTGACTGAGGACAAATAGAAACAGTACAGCATGTCCTTCTCCAGTGCCTATATTACAGAGACATTTGTATTAGCCCGATTTCCCCACTACTTCATAAGTACTCAGGGTGCTCAGGGAAATTCTTTACTTCCTTGCTGCTCTCAGATACCAATCCTGCTACCACATACAGTGTTGCCGACCCCTGCTATAAGAGTTATAGAACAAAAGAGCAGGATCAGTGGTTTCTGTTGCTCCAGCTCCAGATTGGAGTTTTGTTAAATCATCCACTTAGTGCAGAAAGCAGTAACAACCAGCAATAATAAATGCACCAAATACTTGGAGACAGTCAGTGTGTACAAATGCGATGACTCAATAATATTAAGAATGAATAGCTACAGAAATTATTAAGCACAATTATTTGTGTGCATTTTTCTATGTAAAGAGGTTGGTGTTGTCCCTAAAATGAGTACATTTGGTTAAAAAAGATTTATATTCAGATAAATGGGTGTGTTGTGAGTTCTTGCTTCCACTTGAACAGTTTGGTTCTTTCCTTTTTTTTCAGATTTCATATGGTTCATTTCAACGAGCCACGGATAATCAAATCAAATTCTCTTCCTTTTACCGCATGGTCCCCAATGAAGGACTTCAGTATCAGGGAATTATCCAGTTACTTTTGTATTTCGGATGGAAATGGGTTGGGCTCATCACTACAGATAATGAAGCTGGAGAACGTTTCTTGCAGACTATTGAGCCAATGCTTTTCAAGAATCAGATCTGTTCTGCATTCACAGAAATGATTGAGTACCATCTGCATTTCAAACATAACATGCTTAATATGGTAGACGATTTGGTGCATTTCTCAAAGCTATTCACACGAGTTTTCATAATGAGCAAAGCAAATGCTGTTGTTATATATGGAGAAAGTCAAACTATTGCATGGCTGTTAAGGACTGAAAAGACAATGAAGATAATTCTGCAAATAAATCATCAATATATTAAATTACCTGAAGGAAAAGTGTGGATTACAACAGCTCAATTTGATTTCATATTAGATAAGTTTCAAAAAGATTTTGACTTTAACTTACAAATGTTCCATGGTGCTATCTCCTTTGCTATCCACTCCAAGGAGACTCACAGCTTCCAAGGTTTTCTTCAGCAAGTAAACCCTTATTGGGAAGATAGAAATGGTTTTATCAAAGATTTATGGGAACAAGCATTTGGTTGTTCAGTTTCAAACGCCTCTATGTCAAAATACATTGATGGCACATGTACAGGAGGGGAGAAGCTGGAGAGCCTTCCTGCACCATATTTTGAAATGAGCATGACCGGCCACAGCTACAGTATCTATAATGCTATCTATGCTTTGGCACATGCCTTACAGATCATGTATTCAGCTAGAACCATCCACAAAAGAACAGACGGTGGAGACAGACTCTCTCATCAAAATTTGGAACCTTGGCAGGTAGAGTTTCCTGCTAGAAAGTGTTGTTTATGAAGGGTTCAGTGTTGTGCACTGCCTTGATTGTATTATGTGTGTTGGCAATGCATTATAAGTAAAGAAATAAAAGAATAGACCTCGATAAAAATGAACCTTAATTAATGTTGTGGTATCCAAGTTGGGTGTTAGAAAATGAATAAAAATAATTTAAATGATATGTGCTTTCATAAGCAAGAAACTAACTGCAACTCCTGTTGGGTTTATTGGGTTATTGCTTTTGGTTTGATTTTATATTATAATAATAATAATACTTGAAACACTAATATCTCTCAAGTAATAGCTACTATTTGAACTGTTAGAACCAAGGGTCGTCCTAAATATCAAGCGGCAATTAAATTGACAATTGTTATATGCTAGGGGCGGTGGGCAGTAACATAAATCTGAACGATGTTTTGGTTGGGGATAGGGATTTTGTTTAGAAACGTGTGGCTTAAGTGTGCCGTAATTGTATTATGTGCTTTTGGTTTGATTTTATATGTTGTGGTCTTGTTGTGAACTGCCCTTAGATTCCGGGTATAGGGCAGTGTATAAGATGAAATAATAATAATAGTAATACTTAAGAACTGAAGTTTGCTATATTTCAAACAGTGAAGATCCAGACAGAAAAGCTTTACCAAGAGTTATTGAGCTTTTTTGCCAATTTCACACAAAAAGAAAATATTACAGCAATACCAATGTGGGTTGCCATACGTACGGATTTCCCTGGACATTTTTAGAGATTACGGAAATTCTGGACACCCAACCTTTAGGGACACAGTTACTCCCTTCTGGACTGGGGAGTCCCAGAAACAACTGTCCTTCTCCTGCCTTTATAGACCTTGTGGTTCTCTTTTCATCTAGGTCCACTCATTTCTGAAGAGGATCTCATTCAACAACAGTGGTGGTGATGAAATCACATTAAATGAATATGGAGAGTTAGCAGCTGGCTTTGATATTACAAATTTAGTCACTTTCCGAAACAGGTCATATGTCAGGGTCAAAGTGGGGAGGCTGGATCCTCAGGGCCCCTCCTGGCAAAGAGCTCACCATCAATGCCGACAGAATCAAATGGCACAGTGGCTTCACTCAGGTGAGAAAATAACTGCTCTGGCTCTCAAATGGCAACATTCATAGTTATCCAATAAGATGGGGTGTGAGTGGGGGAAGGAAGCAGTTCCTCACTTAATACATAATTAAATTTGTAATTCACTGGAAGGGGAAAGAAAGTTTTCTTCCAAAGGACTTTTCACCTGTGTAAATATGAATTTCACATTATTTACTGATAGATCACCTTATGTTAGATTTATTTGCCCCAAACATTTCCTTAATATTAACCTTTTCTTTATCTTTGGATAGGAACCACCGCTTTCATTATGTAATGCCAACTGCCGTCCTGGTTATGGGAAGAGAAAGAAGGAGGGGGAGAAGTTTTGCTGTTATGATTGTGATCCATGTCCACATGAGATGTTCTCAAATGAGAAGGGTGAGAGATGCCGTGTTAGCATATACCAAACTATACAATTTATTTTAGTAAATTCTGGGCAGTTTTGTTGTCTTTAAATTTCTGGAAGAGAAAATGTTTAAATTATGGCTTGATATATTATTCTCTTGGTTTATAGATAAAATCAATATAATGTTATCCTTAACAAATCTGGAAGAACATATTTTAGAAAGGGAGGTATTGACTTTTCCCACCAACATTGACTAACTTAGGGTGGAATAGAAGTGGTGGCCCCTTCTTTAGGAGCAGGATTTGGGGGAGTGAGGGTGAAAGTCCTGTCAAAATCACCTCTCTTGCTCCCAAGATTTCAGCTGTAATATTTCTCTCATTTAACTATGCAGTATTGGACGTTCTGAGAAAAAAAGAAAAGCACCAGTGAAAACATATAGCTTATCCACATTTGTAACATGGGTTTATTTGTGAAGCATCTAGGGCAAAAGCATTCTGGCTAGGAGTTTTGAAGTTTTTCCGGGTGAAAAACAGTATGCAAAGTGGAGTTCATGTTGGGTAATAACTACTGAATACCAATTAAGAATAAAGTCCAACATGTGTAGGGAACTACAAAGAAAAAAACAGCTGCCTGAATTGAAGAAAATGTGAAGGGCTTGACTCACTCTTTATAGTAACTTACAGCTCTGTGTCCCTTAACAGGGGTTACTTACTGGCAGTTATGCACAATTATGTTTGGTTTTATAAAATCTCCCACATTTCTGATAACAAAATTCTTTAGCATAATCATGGTTCTTTCATTTTTCTTGTACATTGTATTTACAGAGATGGAAATATGTGTCAGGTGCCCTGCAGGTCAGTATCCAAATGAAGACCAGGATCACTGCATTTCAAAGAGACCAAATTTCCTGGGCTTTGATGAAACTTTGGCCATTGTTTCAATTTTCTCTGTACTTTTATTCTCTCTGATCACAATTCTTGTGCTTGGCATCTTCATTAAGTACAGGGACACTGCCATAGTCAAAGCCAACAACAGAAGCCTCACCTACATTCTCCTATTCTGCCTCCTCTTGTGTTTTCTCTGCTCCTTGATGTTCATTGGAACACCTAAGCAGGCAACCTGCCTTCTCCGACAAACAAGTTTTGGCATCGTCTTCTCTGTGGCCCTCTCCAGCATCTTGGCCAAAACTATATCAGTGGTTTTGGCATTCATGGCTACCAAGCCAGGATCCACAATCAGGAGATGGGTAGGCAAAAAGCTGGCATATTCCATTGTCCTCTCCAGCTGCATTGTTCAAGTAGGAATCTGTGCCTTCTGGCTGGCAACCTCTCCCCCATTCCCCGATGTGGACATGCACTCAATGAGTGAAGAAATCATATTTCTTTGTAATGAAGGTTCAGTCCTCATGTTCTACTGTGTTTTGGGCTACATGGGCTTCCTGGCCACTGTCAGCTTCACTGTGGCCTTCTTAGCCAGAAAGTTGCCGGACAGCTTCAATGAAGCCAAGTTCATCACCTTCAGCATGTTAGTCTTTTGCAGTGTTTGGCTTTCATTTGTTCCAACTTATCTGAGCACCAGAGGAAAATACATGGTGGCTGTGGAGATCTTCTCCATCTTGGCTTCTAGTGCTGGATTACTGGGTTGCATCTTTTTTCCAAAATGCTACATTATTGTGGCGAGGCCTGAGCTGAACAACAGAGAGCAGCTGATACGGAAAAAGATATAAATGGTAGAAGAGATTGTCATTTATTTTGAGACTTAGGTTCTGTAGTCTTTCTGGCCAGGTTCAGTTTCGCTGCGCTTGTCTGAGAAATGATATCTGAAAATAGATGAATAATATAAGAGATTTTTTATCATGTTCTTTGTATTCAGCATACAAACATTTTTGCTGTAAATAAATTGACACTCTGTGATGGAATAAAACTATATGTGATACCCAGCATTGCATGAGTGAAAGTCTGATTGTACAATAACCATCCTAAACTCTCCTTCTCCTGCATACACAGAGTGGCCCCCATATTTTCCCAAGATGTTCTGAAACTCTCTTGAGCAGTTTTTGGGAATTCTTAGAAAACTGCAGAGAGAGGGAAAGGAAAAGGAGAACATCAAAATCTGCCTTATAGTGAGTGAGAGTGTTGCTCAATCTATTTGGGAGGATTTTGGATAACTCATGTTGAGTTGCTCTGGTTTGTGTTGTACGATGCAAACTGATCAGGGGCTGTTGGAGATGGATATCAGGCAAAATTGGAAGCAGGCACCAGGCTGGAAAAGGTATGCTTACTCTGAAACATATCTGATCATCAGGTATGTCTTCCCCAGAGACTTTAAAAGCCAGATGCCTCCTAATTCTCCTCCCTGCATTGTACCTCACACCACAAGACTAATGTCTCTTTGAACCTGCAGCTTGATCATCAGCACAAGAAGATGCTGGTGAGCTATGACTCTTCCCTTCTCTTGTCATGGAAGTATTTTCTACTCATGAATGGATGTCACCTATCTTGTGTTTGTTTTTCGGATAATGATTGTTTCCTTGAAACGCTTCTTATGAGATACATAAAAATACACAAGAGAGCCAGCTATAGTTTGGACTAATGGGAACCTAAGCAGAATTCTACTATGCTTCTGATTGGTGAGAAGGTTGAGAAATAAGATCTATATAAATAGCAGTGTGAGGCAGAGTAGGTTGCCTGATTCGAGGAACAGATCTAGGCACTGTTTATTGGGAAGAGTCTTGCTATATTTGTGAGCTCTTCAGTTTAACTACTCAACTGTTTTAAAATAAAATTCTTTTTTTTAAAAAGATCTCTTCACAGTCATTGTTTCTATTGCCACATTACTAAAGCACCCTGTATTAAAAGCTAATTGTGTTTTAGTTCAATTTTGATGCCTTGTTATCCACCCTCTGCCTAATTGCACTAGGAACTAAACCAGTGTATATGGTTGGCTGTATGAGTCCAGAAATTAGAGTTAAAGACCACTAAGTGGAGGCAATTAAGCAATGAAGAGGTTCACTTTCTTCTCTGGTAAGGACTCAAGAACAATCAGTGGCACCAGGTATAGGGGGCAGAGGGGGCTTCAGCTTCCCCAATGTTTAGAGGGATGCCACGCCCCACCACGGCTGGGCGCTCTCCACACACCCCAGCCCCAGCTTCTGCCTGGCAGCCCAGGAGCCATGTGGTAGCTGGGACAAGCGTGTATGATCTTGCTTCACTCGTCCCAGCCACAGCCCAACAGTCTGGCAGCCCAATAGCCAGGCTGGGGCTGGGATGAGCAAGCCCAGAGATTGCCTTCTGTGTGTTCCGCCCCTACCCAGCACATGCCAGGCAGCATCACATGACGCATCATGTGACACACCTCAAACCAATCTAAAAGCTCTCATGGTGAACCAGGACATCTAAACTCCTTAAATCTCATTTCTGGACTGATGTGAGGTTTGCATAGGAGTCGGGAAATCATGGTTCTTGCCTTAGCAAGTGCGCCAGACTCAAAAGGATCTATTATATGACACATCCCTGGCAGATAAAGATCACATCAGAGAGGAAGCCTATTTCTACACCAGAAACTTTCCCTTACACCAGAGGTAGTCAATCTGTTTCCCTCCAGTTGTTGCTGGACTACAACTTCCATCCGTTTACAACAGACCATTATTATCAGGGATGAAGGAAGCTGTAATGCAGCAAAATTCAGAGTGAACAACATTGTCTATCATTAGTTTACAATTTACATGGATGGGACCATCCTGTCATTCGTCTGAATTACGTATTTCCTCAGAGTGAGAGAATGATGGCAGAGATGTCCTCATGCATGCCACATTGATTCATTCTTTGTTTGTTTTTTCAAAAGGGGTTAGACTGTATTGCCTTGGGTCCCAACATCTGGATATGGTTATGACTCTCTCCCTCATTTCCCCAAAATATCCACTTAGTAGGGTGGATGGGAGTGTCTGATCAATGTTACATAGGAGAGTGTGTGTAAAGCAAAGTATTATAGTAAGAGGATTGATGCCTGACCATTATTGAGGTTTTTTTACTTTGATGACCTTGGAGGTCTCTTCCTAGTCTATGATTCTGTGATGTGACAGATATGTTTACTTTGGCCGTTCTGTTACTGATGATGCACCATAGAATCCAAAAACATTGCACAAATGGTTGTCTCCCCTGTAATTATTAAAATTATTATAATCAATCCACCAGGCAAAGCTCCACAAGGGCAGAATGGGAAATAAAAAATCAAAATAGGCTCTGCTATTTCAATCTTTTTCCCCTTTTCATTGTATTGGTCAGATTTGAAATCACTGTAGCTTATTTGGAATTCACAGAATTTTTTGTGACAGTGTTGAAGTTAATGAGAAGGTGGATACATATCCATTTACGTACTGCGTTGCCAGAGTTGGCTGTCACCAAATCTTTCCTATGCAGAACAAAAAAAATTCCTTCCAGTAGCACCTTAAAGACCAACTAAGTTAGTTCTTGGTATTTCCTATACAGGTCAGGCTGACGATAGTAACAACATTCTAGGGAGATAAAGGAGAATATATGTGTAGAAGGATATTTGTGATCAATATGTTGTTGCTGCTGCTTCTCTTGCTGCTTCCCAACATGGTGCCCCAAGTGCATACTGTTGTTTGGAGTAGAAATAATCCTGTAGATATTACACATGAATGGTATGAAGAAGGTGACCTTGTGATTGGTGGAATAGTGTCTTTTATCCGTTACTTATTCCCCAAGCTTTCCTTCAAGAAACACCCTTCTCAGGTCTTTATTGACATTCCAGTGTAAGTAAATTGTGGTTAACATTATTTTATGTTTTCTTTATATGTTTATATCTTACAGAAAAGTACTTTGATCACTTTTTTGGGGGGGGGAGTTTTAGAACCTTTAAAAAAAAGGTTTTTTCTGGAAGGTTTTTCACATTTTTCTGGAAAGACACAGAAAAGAGAGAGCAGGAAAAGAAAAAGTGGGTAACAAACAAACAAACAAAATGCCCTGTAACATATAGCCAAGCAGTTAGGTAGTCAAGTTTGTTGATGATACCCAAATGGTCAGTTGTTAAAAAAGAGAGAGAGAGAGAGAGAGAGACCACAAAGCAGTTTCCGGACTGCAGATTAGGGGCAGGGGCAGTAAACTGGAAAAGGCAATTCAGTATAAGCAAGAGTAAGATGAGGCTTATTCAGGCAAAAAAAATTTAATTTCATGAATAAACGTTGGGCATTTGAACTAGTGGCAATTGACCAGGAATGAGAATTTGGAGTTGTAGTGGATACCTCAGTGAAAATGTGCACCCAGTGTGCAGCAGCTGTGAAAATGGTAAATTCATTCTAGCAAGCAGCCCTCAATGGACTGGAAACAGAACTTCAATATCATAATGTAGCTCTACTAATCTCTGGTGTGACCACACTTAGAATGCTGTGAACAGTTCTAGTCATCTCACCTAAAAAGCAATATTGTTAGAAAAGCTTTAGAAATTTCATTCAGAATGATAAAAGGGATAGAACATCTCCCCTTTTTAAGTTAGAGAAAAGGCATGCAAGAGGTGACATCAATATGTTTAAGGTTATGTATGATGTGGAGACAGTCAGTAGGGAACAGTTGTCTCCCTCACTCAGAATACTAGAACTCAGGGAAATTAATTAGGCAGTGTTCATTAGACAGCCAATCAATTGAGAGCCAGAGTGGGCCACAACATTTTAAATTTCGGTATTAAAATCAGTTAAAGCAATAGTGTCACAGGAAGAGGGTCAATCCTGGAAACACATTTCACAGGTCTTTCCACAGGTGGTGTCTCTCCATCCTCCAACAAGGCTTTGATCAATCCTCACACCTCCTCAGTCAATTGCCTACAGCTTGTTTTAAGAAGCCAAGCCAGAGGTGGATAGGCAGGCAGGTGAATCTTTCAGTTCTGAATTTCATGCCCTGTTTAATTCCCTCATGAAATGGTAACTCACTTCATTTGCAGGGTGATTACAAAGTTCTACCAACACATCCTCGCCTTGGTGTTTGCTGTTGATGAGATCAATGAGAATCCCAAGATCTTGCCCAATGTCACTCTTGGATTCCACATCTATGATAGCTATTTTGATTCAAGGACGACCTACAAAAACACTCTGGATCTGCTCTTTAAATCACATCACTTTGTCCCCAACTACATATGTGGCATTCAGAAAAATGTCGTAGGCATCATTGGGGGACTTAGCTCTGACACCTCCTCATCCATGGCAGATGTCTTAGGTCTTTACAAGATTCCACAGGTGGGTATTCACAAAATTGATATTTTATGCCAGAATTCACTTTTTTCTCCTTCCACTAGTAATCTGTTGATGCATAAATTTATTGGTTAAATTGAAATGGGTAATGGAAAAGGGTAATGTAGGATCCAAAAGAATGGAGCAGCTGTCATTGGGGGGATTTGGCTCAGAGACCTCCTTGAGCATGGCAGAACTCTTAGGTAGAATATGGGAATAAAAGAAGAGAAACTCTTCCCTTCTTCTTCTGCTAGGGATCTGCTGCTTCCTGAATATGGACTGGTGAAATGAAAAGAGTAAAAGAGGCTGCAATATACACATATATTGAGGAGGTATAACATAGGCAACCAACAATGTGTAGGGGTGTCCAAGAGGGTTCCAAAGAATGCATGTCTATTGCATGTAATGGAAGATCACTTGAAAGGTTCCAGGTGTTGGTGGCAAGGTAAAAAATAAAATATAGAAAGGAGGATTCCCTGGATGGCAAGATGCAGGTTTGGGGCAAGTACTCTTTAGTGAGAGAATCCCAGCAGAGAAATAAAATAGCAAAACATGCAGCAAAGTAAAGCATTGAAATATAAGCTGTAAGACTTTTAAAATATGACCTTGTGAGTTCCAAAATAGTCCCCTCTTCCCCAAGTCAGAAAACACAGGCAGTAACTTGGCTTCGTTTCAGCTGTCAAAGTCCCTAAATTTGTATGGCCTGTTAGAGCCATGTGATGTGAGCTAACTCAGACCTCTCTACATGCTAAGCTTCTCAGGTGGACTGAAGGACAAAAATAGGCTTGATTACCCTCCCCCCGAGGTGAGGTGGGAGACCCAGCCTGGCAGAACAACTTGCTCTATAGCATTAACCCCTCCATGCATTAATTAGACTTCAGCATGCTGGTTTTATGAGACTTGAGACCCCGCACCAGGTTGGTAAATAGGGCACCTAGATGCATTCAACAATCCTGAAAGCATTGCACTTGCTGCTTGTGAGCTGCCCATGTAAATTCATGATGTCAGTATTGGCTTACAGAGGCATAAATAATTCAGAACACATTGACTAGAGAGAGAGGAGAAACGTGTCCCTGTTAATTCTCCTCTACCTCTCAGTGGTTTTCAATACCCTCAGCCATGGTGTCCTTCTGGAACAGCTTTCCGAATTGTGGGTGGACAGCACTTCTTTGAGGTGGTTCCAGTCCTATTTGGGTGGTCATTTCCAGAGTCTTGTGGAGCCTTCAATATGGGTTCCTTATATCCCAAACTGTTTAAAATCTACACAAAACCACTGAGTGGGGTCATCCAGAGTTTTGGAGCACGTTGTCAGCAATATACTGATAACACGTTGCTCTACTTCTCTTTACACTGCAGTGGGTGTTCTGGACCAATGTCATGCCTCAGTAATAGACTGGCTGAGAGTCAATGAACTGGCCAGATGAATGGGAGGTGGCCTGCTCTTGCTGGGGTTACATTCTCTCTGAAGGAGCGGCTAATAGCTTGCGGGCATTCCTGGATCCTTAGCTGATGCTTGGCTCAGCTGGCTCAAATCATAACCCTTCTCTCAAACAGAAAGGGGTGGATCCTCACAGCTCTCAACTATGAGCTTTTTCTTATTCCAGTCTTCCACCCTTGGAGATCTTCCCTTCTTTGCTTTTCATATAGGATGGTTCACCAACCAACCAACCATCACTTTCATTTGTGTATACTCCCAATACTGGCCCAAAGCAGAAGGCGAGAGAGAGAGAGAGAGAGAGAGAGAGAGAGAGAGAGAGAGAGAGATGAAATAAAAGAGGAAGGCCCACCTGTCATGAAAATGATTATTCAAATTATTCACTCTGCAATGACTTCCAGTTGTTCTTCATTCTGCAAAGCAGCATTTTTCCAGTCTTCAGACCCAAATGCCCAGACCAAATTCAACAGACTTGGCTATTGCGAGTCACCACACAATTATCTCTGTCAACAAGCTGTCAACAGACTATGTTCTCCCTGGAAGTATATACAACTAAGAATGTCTCTCTCCCTAAGAATTATGAGATTTCCCACATGGGGATGTATGATGTTATAAAGCATTGTTGGTTTTCAGAGGTCAATTGAGAAGACTATTTTGTGCTGTTCTGCTGCATTGTTTGAGTTCATCTTAGTTGCTCTAACGTTTGCTGGCAATGATTGCTGTCAGAGCTGCTTCCAGATCCTAGCTCACAGAGGATCACGCTAGCCAGCGGTCACTTGTAAAAGTCTTTTATTGAGTTACAGTTTCCATTCTCAAGCTGCTGCGTGCAACTCTACGTCTTATGGCTAGACCGGCGAAGCTCCGTCTGAGTCTCCGCCCCCTGTACACCAACTTAATATCCTAGCCCTGTCCCACCTTTTCCGCCTGACTGTTCTTCTCTGGGTCCCTCTGCCCCCCGTGGTCTCTTCCTTCCTGGACTCTTCTGACGCTGACCCCCCGGACCCTCCTGTCTCCTTGCGCCGGGCTTTAGGACCTGGCTCCCTTTCCGGGCTGCCTACTGCGCCACCTTCCTGTGCATTTGAACTTGGCGCGCGCGCCCAACCTTCCACCTTCCGTCTAACCGTTTCTTCGCTCCCCGATGGAGGTGTGGCCACTCCTGACTCGTGCCCTCCCTCCTGTTGTGAGCTGCCAGCGCTTGATCCCTGGCGCCCTTCCTCTTCCCTGCTCTCTGGCGGTGACGCTGGTCCCGATTTCCAACTGCTCTCCTCTGAGTCCCCTCTGGCTCTATCTTCCTGGGGTGTCCCCCTAGTCTCCCCCCTTACCCTGGCCACTGGTGCTCCTTTCCGTGAATCTTTGTGCATTGTGGTTCTTAGTGCTCTCACTTTGCTGGCAGATGTTTGCCATTCCTATTTTTGTATTTTACTGATATTATTGGTTTATTGCCGCTCACAGAACGCTACAACAGTACATACTCTTCCAGAGAGTTCTGCTGGAGTTCCAGAATAACCTTTTCAGGAGAGTTCTTTAATAGATGGGAGGTGATCAACTTCTCATCTACCATCACGTATAAGGGTTTATTAGAACAAAAAGAGCAGGATCAGTGGTTTCTGTTGCTCCATGCGCCACACTGGAGTTTTGTTGAATCTGCAATTAGTGCAGAAAGCAGTAACAACCAGCAATAATAAATGCGCCAAATACTTGGAGACAGTCAATGTGTACAAATGTGATGACTCAATAATATTAAGAATGAATAGCTACAGAAATTAATAAGTGCAATTATTTCTGTGCATTTTTCTATGTAAAGAGATTGGTGTTGTCCCTAAAATGAGTACATTTGGTTAAAAAATATTTATATTTAGATAAATGGGTGTGTTGTGAGTTCTTGCTTCCACTTGAACAGTTTGGTTCTTTCCTTTTTTTCAGATTTCATATGGTTCATTTCAACGAACCGTGGATAATCAAATCAAATTCCCTTCCTTTTACCGCATGGTCCCCAATGAAGGACTTCAGTATCAGGGAATTATCCAGTTACTTTTGTATTTCGGATGGAAATGGGTTGGGCTCATTACCACAGATAATGAAGCTGGAGAACGTTTCTTGCAGACTATTGAGCCAATGCTTTTCAAGAATCAGATCTGTTCAGCATTCACGGAAACTATTGAGTACCATCAGCATTTCAGCAGTAACATCCTTGATATGATAGATGATATGAAGCGTAGATCGAAGCTGGTCACACAAGCTTTCATACTGAGCAAAGCCACTGCTGTTATTATATATGGAGAAAGTCAGTCTATTTCATGGCTGTCACGTGCTGCAATGACAATCAAGATAAATCTGCTAATATATCATGAATATAGTAAGTTACCTGAAGGAAAAGTATGGATTGCAACAGCTCAAATCGATTTCATATTAGATATGTTTCAAAAAGATTTAGGCTTTAACTTACAAATGTTCCATGGTGCTCTCTCCTTTGCTATCCACTCCAAGGAGACTCACAGCTTCCAAGGTTTTCTTCAGCAAGTAAACCCTTATTGGGCAGATGGAGATGGTTTTATCAACGATTTATGGGAACAAGCATTTCGTTGTTCAGTTTCAAACTCCACTGTGTCAAAATACGTAGATGGCACATGTACCAGAGAGGAGAAGCTGGAAAGCCTTCCTGCCGCCAGTTTTTGAAATGAGCATGACTGGCCACAGCTACAGTATCTATAATGCTGTCTATGCTTTGGCACATGCCTTACAGTTCATGTATTTGGTTGGAGCTGACCACAAAGGAGCAGAGAGTGGAGAAAGACTCTCTCATCAGAATCTGGAACTTGGCAGGTAGGGTTTCCTGTTACAAAGTGTTCAGTTTACAGATGTGTTCACTGTTGGGCACTGCCTTTTACCGTATGTTTTTGCACCATAACACTCCACTTTTTCCTCCTAGAAAAGAAGGGGAAATGTCTGGTGCGTGTATGGAGCGAATGCCCCCTGCGGGGTGGCGGGAGGATTCTGCTTAGCAGTTGTGAGCAGGGATCCATGGTTCCCCTTCCTTCCCTCCTCCGTGGTTACAAAGCATGGATCCACATGGATCCTCAGGATTTTTGCATTGGGCTACTCCAAAGTACACTTCAGATTACATTGTCTGTGGCCCACATGCCATGAACCACAAAAATCATATATCCACTATTTCGTTTAGAATATTTTTTTTTCTTGTTTTCCTCCTCTAAAAACTATGTGCGTGTTATGGTCTGGTGCGTGTTATAGAGCGAAAAATACGGTATATTATGTGAATTGGCAATTTACTATCAGTAAAGAAATAAAAGAATAGACTTGAGAACTAAAATTAAACCTTGTTGTGGTATCCAAATGGATATTAGAAAATGAATAAAAATAATTTAAATTACATATGTTTTCATAAGCAAGAAAATAACAGCAACTACTTGAAGAACTTGTTGTTTTTTGGTCGTTTAGTCGAGTCCAACTCTTCATGACCCCATGGACCAGAGCACGCCAGGCACTCCTGCCTTCCACTGCCTCTCGCAGTTTGGTCAAACTCATGCTGGTAGCTTCGAGAACACTGTCCAACCATCTCGTCCTCTGTCATCCCCTTCTCCTTGTGCCCTCAATCTTTCCCAACATCAGGGTTTTTTTCCAGGGGGGTCTTCCCTTCTCATGAGGTGGCTAAAATATTGGAGCCTTAGCTTCAGGATCTGTCCTTCCAGTGAGCACTCAGGGCTGATTTCCTTAAGAATGCGTAGGTTTGATCTTTTTGCAGTCCATGGGACTCTCAAGAGTCTCCTCCAGCACTATAATTCAAAAGTATCAATTCTTCAGCGATCAGCCTTCTTTATGGTTCAGCTCTCGCTTCCATACATCACTACTGGGAAAACCATAGCTTTAACTATACGGACGTTTGTCAGCAAGGTGATGTCTCTGCTTTTTAAGATGCTCTCAAATAACAGCTGCAATTTATACAGTTAGAACTAAAGGTCGTCCTAAATATCAAGTGGAAATTAAACTGACAATTGTTATACGATAGGGGCAGTGGGCAGTAACATTAATCTGAACCAGGTTTTGGTTAGGGACACAGATTTTGTTAAGAAACTTGTGGCTTAATTGTACCTGTCTGTTTTTCCTCTTACCTACTGTTAACAGCACAAATTGGCCAAGTCGAGTGCACGTCAAACTGTCTGAAATGACCCTTGCGACTTTCTGTAGTTTCTCAAAACCAGATGCAGTGTCCATGGAAATTTCTGGTTTCCACGGTAACTCCAGCACACAGAGCCAGGCTATTTGACTATGGGGGTTGGGGGGTCATGCTACAGTGAACTAGTAAAATGCAGGGATTCCAGGAGGCAAAGAAAATGAAAGTCAAGCACATCCTCCAGTTGGCTGCCTTGTGATATTAAACTCAGGTAAAGAAGAAAATATGCAATCTCCCCAACCCACAAATGTCTGCCTTAACCACCCAAGCCTTGCAAACCTTTAACCAGCCCCTCTGCTGCCATCACCCTCAAAAGCAAAAGCAGGAGTTACCAATTTTGAAAGAGTAACCTTGTTCCCAATATACAACATACCACAAAAAAACCACAGAGGGAGGTGGGGGGAAGGTCTGAGTGACAGTGATGGATAAGAAAACAAGCACTTCTACTCAGTTCTGCTTAACTGCTTGCAGTCTCTTTTGCAGCTCATAAGCAGAAGTTCATGAACAGGACTTGCAAACAGGGGCATTTAGCAGTGACGTTTAAGGAGAAGGCCTGGAGTGCTATCTCTTGGTGTATGTAGAACCGAGGAAACATAGGTAGAGATGGAGCTGCTGCAGTAACCTGTATCACAGAATTTATCTGCACCTCCGACTGCAGTATTCTGGATATGTCTGGGAAATTCTTAACAACCCAACCTTTAGGGGAGCAATTACTCCATTCAGGACTAGGGAGTCCCACACACATCCGTCCGTCCCCTGCCTTTATAGACCTTGTGGTTCTCTTTTCATCTAGGTCCACTCATTCCTGAAGAAGATCTCATTCAATAATAGTGCTGGTGATGAAATCATATTAAATGAATACGGAGAGTTAGCAGCTGGCTTTGATATTACAAACTTAGTCACTTTCCGAAATGGATCATATGTCAGGGTCAAAGTGGGGAGGCTGGATCCTCAGGCCCCTCCTGGCAAAGAGCTCACCATCAATACGGACAGAATCAAATGGCACAGTGGCTTCACTCAGGTGAGAAAATAACTGCACTGGCTCTCAAATGGCAACATTCATAGTTATCCAATAAGATGGGGTGTGAGGGGGGGAAGGAAGCAATTCCTCACTTAATACATAATTAAATTTGTATTTCGCTGGAAGAAAAAGGAAAGGTTTTTCCAAAGGACGTGTCACCTGTGTAACTATGACTTATACATTTCACATTATTTATTAATAGATCACCTTATGTTAGATTACTTTAACCCAAACATTTTCTTATTTTATATCCTATATCTTTGGATAGGAACCGCCACGTTCATTATGTAATACCTACTGCCGTCCTGGTTATGGGAAGAGAAAGAAGGAGGGGGAGAAGTTTTGCTGTTATGATTGTGATCCATGTCCACATGAGATGTTCTCAAATGAGAAGGGTGAGAGATGCCGTGTTAGCATAAACCAAACTATGCAATTTATTTTAGTAAATTCTGGGCAGTTTTGTTGCCTTTAAATTTCTGGAAGAGAGAATGCTTATATTATGGCTTGATGTATTATTGGGTGTTGGGGGTGGGGAGGGATCTGGAAATAATACATACTTCCTCCCTTCTTGGAAAAGTGAAGATGTGATATCAAAATCTTTTCTAAAAATTTACAGCCCTGTGTCTCTTAACCCCTTACTGACTGGCAATTATGCACAATTATGTATGGTTTCAAAAAATCTCCCCCTCTTTTGATAATAAAATCCTTTAACATAATCATGGTTCTTTCATTTTTCTTGTACATTGTATTTACAGAGATGGAAATATGTGTCAGGTGCCCTGCAGGTCAGTATCCAAATGAAGACCAGGATCAATGCATTTCAAAGAGACCAAATTTCCTGGGCTTTGATGAAATTTTGGGCATTGTATCAACTTTCTCTGTACTTTTCTTCTCTCTGATCACAATTCTTGTGCTTGCCATCTTCATTAAGCACAAAGACACTGCCATAGTCAAAGCCAACAATAGAAGCCTCACTTATATTCTCCTTGTGTCCCTCCTCTTGTGTTTCCTCTGTTCCTTGATGTTCATTGGAACACCTAAGGAGGCAACCTGCCTTCTCCGACAAACAAGTTTTGGCATCATCTTCTCTGTGGCCCTCTCCAGTATCTTGGCCAAAACTATATCAGTGGTTTTGGCATTCATGGCTACCAAGCCAGATTCCAAAATCAGGAAGTGGGTGGGCAAAAAACTGGCTTATTCCATTGTCTTTTCCTGCTCCATTGTTCAAGTAGGAATCTGTGTCTTCTGGCTGGCAACCTCAGCCCCATTCCCAGATGTGGACATGCACTCAATGACGGAAGAAATCATATTTATTTGTAATGAAGGGTCAGTCTTCATGTTCTATTGTGTTTTGGGCTACATGGGCTTCCTGGCCATTATCAGCTTCACTGTGGCCTTCTTAGCCAGGAAATTGCCGGACAGCTTCAATGAAGCCAAGTTCATCACCTTCAGCATGCTGGTCTTCTGCAGTGTTTGGTTCTCCTTTATTCCCACATACCTGAGCACCAGAGGGAAATATATGGTGGCTGTGGAGATCTTCTCCATCTTGGCTTCCATTGCTGGATTACTGGCTTGCATCTTTTCCCCCAAATGCTACATCATTGTGGTGAGGCCTGAGCTGAATAACAGAGAGCAGCTGATACGGAGAAAGATGTAATGACAGAATAGTTTGTAATTTCTCATCAAATCACAGAACTGTAGAGTTCCGCCCTCAATGGTCATCTAGTCCAATCCCTGCAATGTAGGAATCTCAACTAAACTATCCATGACAGAATGGCCATCCTACCTCCCAAGGGAGTCCATTTTGTTGGGATTTAGGCTATTTAGACTTGTTGGCATTGTCATTTTACCAAGATTTTCCTAGAAATGAAATTTCCTGAAAAGATATAAATAACAGAAGAGAATGCTTTATCATTTTTTTATTGATATGTAGCATAGTAACATATGAGGTGTAAATGAATTGGCACTGTGTGTATGAATGAAACTGTGGGTGATATCCAACATTGTGTGAATGAATGTCTACATGTCCCCTTCCTCTTATTCGGTTGCAGCCACAGGTGTGCTCCCCCCCCCCCCGTTTCTTCCCAAGAGCTCCTGAAACTCTCCTGATCAGAGGTGGGAGTTCTTAGGCAAGCATCAGGAGAATGTAAAAGCCTGATGCGACCTGACTCTCCTCTGTGCCAGACATCCCACCCCACAGGATTGATGCTTCTTCCCATCTACATAGCTCACTACTATGCTCTAATTCAGCCTTTCTCAACCTTGGGTCTCCAGATGTTTTTGGCCTACAACTCCCATCATCCCTGACCACTGGTCCTGTGAGAACCTTGAAAAGAACATACCAGTGAGCTAAGACCCTTCACTTCTATACATATGGAAGTCTTTTCTACTCATGGATGGACACAAACAGATAGCACCCTATTGTCAGGGAAGAGCCAGGATGTGCAGTTTCATCAGTAGCAGGGGAGGGTTCTGAGCAGGAACTGGCAGAAGAGGAAGACAGGGAACTGAAGCACGAAGCAGAGCAGGGGGATGGGGCTAGTCAGAAGGAGCAGAGGGTCAGGGATGGTGAAGAGCCCTATAAGCCACCAGAGCCAGTAGGAGGAAGTTCAGTGTCAGAAAATGGGGGAGGGGCTTTCACACCAGCACAGGCAAGGAGGGAAATATGAGATGGATTTATATCTTGAGTAACAGAACAACAAGAATATGTTATTTTTAGGCTTATATTTTATACTTTGTGTAATGTTAGAAACGAATGGACAGTACAGAGAATGGAGATATAATGTCTTATTGAGTGATATGGGAAGTCACAGGAAAAAAACCAGAAAAATAAGAATGGTTAACATATGGTGTTCTTAAAATGTATTATGTGAAAACCTAATGAAAAAAATGAAAATGAAACTTTTAGTAAAGCATATTGAATTCTAGTTTAATTTTGCCTGAGACCTTGTTATTCATCCTGTGCCGAATTGCACTAGCAACCAAACCAGTGCCTACAGTTGGCTGTGCCAGTCCAGAAGCTACAGAAGTTAAAGGCAGTTGAGCGGAGCCAGTCTGGCAATAAATACATTCACTTTTTGTTCAGGAAAGTACCCAAGTATGATGAGAATCCAGCAATAAGGACCCAGATTGTTTGTCCACTGACACTCTCAAGGTGCCTTTTACGACATCAAAGAAGCCCATAAAGAAATTGCACTGTGTTAATCACCAATCCAACCATGTCCTTTAAATATACTGAATCATTTAAGAAATGGATGTAAATGGGTGGATGATGGGAGCTGCAGTTTAGCAAGACCTGGAGCACATTGTGTTCACTATTACTGATTATTACTATTAGCAAGACCTGGAGCACATTGTGTTCACCCATCAGTAGGGAGTGCACTGCCAGAGAGGTTCCCATGCATACCAGATTGCCTCAGGCAATAAAAATGTATTGTTTCTAAAGTGGCTAGGTGTCATGGTTTACTTCATTTCCCAGGGTCCCTACATGCTGGAACAGTTCCAGCTCTGTTCCCAAGATCCAGTTAGTGGGGTGGTAAAAGTGTCCCAACAAAGTTACATACATGAGAGAGTACAGAAGCCCCAGTAGTAGCACATTAGCAAATTGGGGGAAGCTAGGGCTGGTTGATCTCTAAAAAATACTGTATTTTGATAGAGGGTTTTTTAGGGAAATGGCTGATGCCTGTCTATCAATTGTTTCATAACTATGGATGTATTGTATCAGCAAGAAGGTTGGACTAGATGATTTTGAAGAACCATTCCTAATCTATAACTCACTGAGGTGATAAATATGTTTACTTGGCAGTTCTGGATGCACCATGGAGTCCTTTAAAAATTGCAAAAAGTGATGGTCTCCCCTGTAATCATTAAAATTACAATAATTAATTCACCTAGCCAAAGCTCTGAAAGGCAGAATGCGGGGTGGGGGGAGACTCAACAAGAAAGTCCGAAATATTTACAGTATCCCAGTCTTCCATAGGCAGTTAGAATAATGCAGGTTACAGAGGCCAGGCTCTGTGACCATATAGGTCAAGTTTTAAACCACTGCATCTTATTTACCATTCAAGGCAGGTCTTTGCAACAGTGTTTAATGATAAGATGCATGCATGTCCCTTTAAGCACTGAACTGGCAGAGTCTGCTGCCTCCAAATCCATGCTGTTCAAATCAGGCTGCTGATAATAATGATATTGTAGAGAGGCAAAGAAGAGTCCATGTGTAGAACCTTGCTGCTGCTGCTTCTCTTGCTCTTCTCCAACATGGTGTGCCGAGTGCATAGTGCTAATTTTACCACAACTAGTCCTGTACCTATTCCACATGAGTGGTATGAGCCAGGTGACCCTGTCATTGGTGGGATTGCATCTCATATCCGCTACATCCTCCCCAATATTTTATTTAATATACACCCTTCTGAAGTCTTGATTGACAGACCAATGTAAGTAAACAGCCCTTAATATTATTTCATTCATGCTTTACATTCTAATACTTGACTGAAATATACTTTGCTTTGAATGAATAGTTTTAGAACTGCATTGATTTGACAGCCTTGAAAGATTTGATAGAGTGTATAAGAAACATCTGAGCATACAAGTCACATCTACACTCTCACTTGGACATTAGGAATCCTTAAGATTTAGTGATTCAATTCTGCAAAGAGAGAATTGAGTAAGAGAAGGAGAAGGCGGGTGGCATAAAAACCGAAGAAGGGAAGCAGTCGAGTTTGTTGATGTGACCAAATTGTTCAGTTTGATTATAACAAAAATGGATTGCAAAGAGCTCCAAATGTATCTTTCCAAACTGGATGTACGAGCAGTAAAATGACAACTGAAATTCAATGAGTGAAGTGATTTGAATTTGGGCAAAAAAAAGTAAGTCTTAATTTCACTTATAAATCTATGGCATTTGAATTGGTGCTGACTGACCAGGAATGAGCTCCTGGGATAGCTCATTCATGCACCATTACTGATACCAGAGAAATGGTAACTTGGTCAGATGACAGATACCCATTCACTACTCATAAAAGCTCTGCCACAATGTAAGCATTCTTCGCCGCCGCCATGTGGTTGGTGAGCTAATGTTACCTCACACGTTTGATGGACCTGTTTCAGACAGACATTTACACCACCTGCATTCTAGTTGCATAGCAGACTAACACTAGGGAAATACAGCTTCCAATCTCCATTCTCTGGGTCAACTCCAGCCAAGGGAATGTCGTGAGGATTCAAGGGGAGCAAAGAGAACAGAGAACGCCAGCCTATGTTTCATTGCTGAAAGGTGGTGAAAAATGTGAAAAATAAACTGGTCATGTCTATGGCTCATAGGAAAGAATATAGTCCTTATAGTTTTTCTATATCCCCAAAGTCTCAGATCTAGATTTTGTGCACTATTTACTTTCCTCACGTAATAATGCCACTTTATTCACAGCGTGTTATCAAAGTTCTTCCAGCACATCCTTGCCCTGGTGTTTGCGATTGATGAGATCAATGAGAATCCCAAGGTCTTGCCCAATGTCACGCTTGGGCTCCACATCTATGACAGCTACTATGATGCTAAGATGACCTACCGCACCACTCTGGATCTGCTGTTTAACTCATATACTTTTGTCCCAAACTACAAATGTGGCTACCAGGAAAATGTAATAGGAGTCATTGGGGGACTGAGCTCTGAGGTCACCTCGTGCATGGCAGACATCTTGGGTCTTTACAAAATTCCACAGGTGGGAATATTATGGTTATCAAAAAACTGAGATTTCACACCATAATTCACTCTCCAGCTCTCTTTCCAGCAGGAGTATATTGATTCATAAATTTGGAGTGTTATAACAGGGACAAGTGAAGGGCACTGAAATGTATGGGTTTGTTGCTGTTATAGCATTGGGTCTCAAACAATGTGCATGATAGGGGCAAGGTTACAAAGGACATGTGCTTAATACATGTAAGGGAAATTGATTCAAAGGTGCCAGGTTGGGAAATGGGATATCCAGATGGGAACATATAACATCCTTGGAACATATTATCAGTGGATCATGTAAGATCAGGACATGTTAACTAGGAATGCTTTCCATAAGAATTGGGAAATTCTTTTTCTGGGGAACTATGCTGTTTCTGCAAAATGTTCACATTCAATGGCTAATTGAAAACCATGTTTTCTAGTTATTGTTCTGTCATTCGGCATTTGGGAGACACTTCTAGCAGTGCCAGTATTATATGGTGTTCTGTATTGTTTAATTTCATTTTAGTTCTTTTGTTTTTTGCTGGATGTGATTGATATGGTATTTTTGTATTTTACTGCTTTTTAATTTTGTGGTGCTGAAAGCCGCAAATTTAAAAAGAGTAAATGCTCTCCTATACTTGAAGTAAAGTAACATCTACATGTAGGAATCTGCTTTGATTCCGTAATAATGGGAATTAATATCTACAGGGCAGGGGAATGAGCAAGACTGTGTTTTTATTTTTTATGTAAGTGTGGGTGGGTGTTTTCCATAAAATCAGTATATTGGAGATCTATGGGATAAATAGGTTTGTTATGAATTCTTTTACTCAGAATGCTTGGACTTTTCCTTTTACAGACTTCGTATGGCTCATTTGAAGCAGCCACAAATAATCAAATTAAGTTCCCTTCCTTTTACCACATGGTTCCTAATGAAGGACTTCAGTATC